AAAAAAATAATAATTAATTTTAATAAAATTTTAGTTATTTTTATTTTTGTAATAATGTATAATTATATAATTTAAAAATAAAAATCTAATTTTGAATAAAATTAAGTAATTATATTTAAAATTTGTTTTTATATTATATAATTAAAATTATATTACAAATAAAAATAAGCAATATTTTTAATTTTTATTATAAAATTTTAATAATTATATTAGTTTTATTTAATTAATATTTTATTTGTGAAATTATATTTTATAAATAAAAATTTTTATAAATTAAACTTGGTAAATATTATTTTTAATTAGATTTAGAAAATTTTATTTTTATTTTATTTCTATTTTAATATTTTTTTCTATAACTCTATTATTTTATTTATTTATTACCTTATTTTATTTTTATCAATTATCTGATTAAATTTGATGAATTTAAAGTAAAACAAATTCAAGTTTTATTTATACTATTTAATTAGAAAAAATTATATATTAATAAAAATTATTATATTCACTAATTTTATTAATATCAAAATTTTTACTATATGAAATAATACAAAATATTTAAGAATACTAATAAAACTAATTATCTTCAAAGAATAAAAATTACTATATAAAGATTATACAAAAGATAATTATGAATTTTTAATTAAATTTAATTATTTTTATAGTATAAAACAAATAATATGATCTATGATTATTTAATCAAATTTAATTAAGTTATATTTTATTTGTATTTTTAAGTTCACTAGCAATTATTCTAGCAATTTACTTGCCATTTTAATTATTATCGTCATTGCCTGTTAAAAAGAATCGTCATCATAATTTATTGAAATAATAATGATACTAATTTTTCTCGTTTTAATTTCAACGCGTAACATTCAAGCTATCTTTAACGATAAGAATTTTATGTCCATAAGGATTTTTTGTGTAACTTGCGGCACAAATTCGATATCACTCTTTAAACGGCATAATACAACAAGTGATGATAACGATAACGACAAATGAATAAGCTAGATTTCTCATCTTTCATTATAATTATTGTAGGAAATTGTACTTGCTGACGGCGTTTTCGGGTTAAAAAGATCTTGTTAATGTGATTCTATAACACATAATACATGTAAATAGCATGTGAATTTGTAATTATTCTTGTGAGACACTCGATATCTATTCTTTCTCTTTGATTTCGTGTGGTATGCTGAAATCCAAATCGTTTGGAGCATACAAACTGACACTTGTAGTGCCTAAAGAAATAAATTAATTAATTAATTAATTAATTTCAAGTAATATGAAACGTCAATGTGATTTATATTTAGACATAAAAAAATACCTGTGTCAGTTGGAATTGAAATTAATTTTGAAATAAACATTCGTCTGGTGTAAATTGCGCTTGAGTGGATTTCTTGTTTTTTGATTATATTCGTAGGAACGTTTTTCACCTTCTCGTCAAGTTCATCTAATTTCTGCTTTTCTAGTTTAAGACACTCAATGATTTCTTTACGTGTCTTAGGAGATTCTAAAAGCCGTAGTACTGAAAATGCAAAGTATTCAATTTTGTCGCATATCCACGTTTGATAAAGTCGAGAAAGTCAATAAGTTCCTGCACAGTTGGTCTGTTTCTGGAATAGGATCCCAACAATTTTCCATAATAAACTTGAATCATTATTTGGTATCGTAGGTCGTACTCCGTTATAGATGTCTAATACAAGGTGTATATCATGACTTCGTTCACCAAATAGTCGTTCACCTGTGGCAACCTCGTACATAACCATCCCGAAACTATAAATATCTGCAGCTTTAGTATATATGGTTTTCCATTTAGTACCTCTGGATTCATATAAGGAAGTACTCCGCAAATTTTTCTATATCTGCTGGGCCGGTAAGCCCAAAATCAGTAATTTGAGCTTTAACATGGATTAATATATTTCCAGGGTGAAAATCACGATGCATAAATTTCTCATTGTGAATTGATGCAACACTCGAGTAATATCAATTAAATGTTCTAATTTTGGTTCCCGATTCAATTTTTGGTGGTAGGAATTCGTATATTTGCGTAGCCCGCATAATCCATCACTATCGAGTATTCATTCGTAGCTGGGTTTTTAGTTATTCCATAATAACTAACCCAATAAGTGCACTTTAGAACAGTCTGAATCTAATTTGAAAAAGTTAATTAAATTGAAAAACAAAAAAGCAATGCTTTTTACACTTAAAGGTGTTCATTTTACCTCGTTTATAAACTCGAATGTAAATTGCTTGGAATTGTGTAATAATTACAACAAATCCACTCAAACGCAATTTACCCCAGTCGAATGTTTACTTCGAAATCAATTTCAATTCCAACTGACACAGGTACTAAATATAAATCATATTAATTAAAATTTATATCGAATGTTTAGGGTTGACAAGTCAACACAACTTTAGTTTCTCCATCTCGTTCAAATTTTTCTTTATGATCCCACTTGAGAGGTGGTTCTAATGGACCGTCCAACCAAGTTGCTTTATAAATTGATCCAAAACCTCCTTTTGCAAGATTTTCAACATTGGTAAATCTTTCAAAAGGGATCTATTCGAAAGCATTGTCATCAACAGCAATTTGGTTGCATTCTTTTATTAGACTGTCGATATAATTATTTCCGCTAGACCAATCAGCTTTATAAATTCGTTTGTGATATAGAATACATCCAGTACAGTCCCAATTTCTTTGACAATTGGTACATTTACTACAATCATGAATACGTATTGTGAACTGAACACTCATCACAATAATAATCCTTTTGTCACAAAGAACATTTACTACAATCATGAGTATTCAAAGTTTTAGATTGTTATCTCTGGTTCATTAGTGATTATGGCACTGTTTTATTTAAAAACGGCGATTTATTATGTTTGAAAGTCGTTGTTCACTTCCGTATCGATTTATGCATGAAAATGACACAGGAATACTATATACGTACGCCCAACAACATGCATTAAAGACAGAACGCATAAAAAAGAAGGCTCTTATACATGTAACTTCTACGTATTGTTATGTAAATAACAAAATACATGTACATGTATATGTACTCTTTTTTAAGAGGTTGTAAGCGTAATACGTACATGTCATTTAATGATAATAATAGTAATTATATTACATGTATCGTTATTTTATTAGTGTTAGTGTTAGCGTTAATGATTATGGATCTATGCAAATACGTACTACGTACGCCCATTAAACGACGCATAAAAAAGAAGGCTTTTATACCCTTTATTGTTGTATGCACATGTTGCAACAGCCAAATTTTTTAGTGTAACTTGCGGCGAACCAATCAGAAGTTCGATATTATCATAATTTTTTATTTACCGATCTAGTATACGTAATAATCGATTGATGTACATGTACAGTACATACCCCAAAAAGTATTTCACTTCACACAAAAATTTTTTTTACCATTAATACATTACCCACCCTCTACGTATATGGCTTCAATATCATGCCGATTTCTTACGGCATCGAGCTCACATCCTACCCCAAACTAACACATTAAGTTTTGAATACACTTTTTTCAGAGCATGTTCGCAAAGCTTTTACACTTTAGAATATTATTTTACAATGGTTTCTAGATGTTTTCTATGAAGCCAGGTCTGGGGGAATACGTTAATTGGTTCATAATCATTAATATTCCTATTTCGTGATCTTTTTAGAATTAGGGTTAGGGTAGCATAATATATTATGAAAAAGGATGAACTTATCTTAAAGAATCTTCGGGTAAATTTTTACAAAGATTTTTTTGTTGACAATGTCACGAAATTGCTCAGGTTGTCTTTTTTGGCTTCTTGTAAATGTGCGTTTTTTTTCTTACTTGTTAAGAGCTTGTGACCTTCCAGACCCTGGTAAATTTTCTTTTTCCTATTTCTCTTGTATTCGGCAAGAGACCATTATCCCGTCATTGAGTCATGGATCATTTTTCTTGCAACTTGTACGGCACGCAAAATCCCAATAAAAATTACCCATTTTACCCTTGTCAAAGTCGGTCAACTGGAGGCGGTGTGTGTTATATTCACAGCCAACAAATTTCGCCCAGTGTATGTTCAAAAGTCGAAGAAAGAAATAAAAAAAAAATATTTGCAGTCAACAATAACAAAAAGGGAAAACCGCCACATTTAAATTTACATATGTTGATGTTGCACATCCAAATCGGGCGTTACTTTCTGTGGCAACTGTACATGTAAAAGGAGTCTAACGTTATTTCGGATAACACATAACTATATAACATGAATCTTGGGAAGCCAAGAATTCCAGCGTATACGACAACTATTTTTCATCTTCAAATTCCTCGTATAATTTATTTTCGATCTCAATTCGCTTAGTTCTGCACCATTTTCTAATTGATCTCTTATCAATTATTTCATGAGCCTTTCGTAGTTAATATGGAAAATGAAACTTTTTTATTTGAATAATTCGATAACAAATTCTAAAAAATCTAAACATTTAGGTAGTTATGTAATAATGAATTCGAACGAGGTTTCTCGATACATGTAATTAGAATTTGATTTTCTTTTTAAATGTCTAAACACTCCAAATTTGGAATTTTTAAGTGTAATCTGAAGATGAAATTCTTGTGTGAGTGAAAAGGCGAACTCTATAAAGATGGAATTGCATTTTGGTTCCAGTTTACTGGTGAAAAAAATACAGTGTCTGTAAAGAGTGATTTTCTTCATTTATATGTTTTCTCTATTGTATTTGTGATATCCTAATTACGAAGAAAAAACTGAGCGAAAAAATATATTTAAAACTTGTTTGTTTATCAGGGAGCTTCCGTTACCGTTTAACTACAAGGCTATTAATTGAAGAAATTGCACCGTGAATCTGAATCTATCTATTTTGCGGAAATCAATTGGTTTTACTAAAAAAAAATTGGGACTAAACTAAGGTTTTAATTTTTTATAGAGGTGGTTTGAAATACAAAGAATTAATTATGTTCACCTTCATATCAATTATAAATTTGGACGTTAAGCTCGTTGATAACAATCTAGACACGCCCATCATCATTTAAAACCACACGTTGCAATCCTCCATATTGCCGCGCAGGATCATTTTTTTCAAGAAAAGCCTGAACTTCACGAAGCACAGGGCCACGAACAACATTCATCATAGCTACGAGATCTTTCAATTTCGTGTATTTGTTCAGGACTTGTCGTCGCTTGATCGAGTAATTTGGAAATATTCGGTAGGTCTTGATGTTACGTACTTGACTGAAATTATTTAGCGTTAGCATTTTTATTGAAGGAAATGATTAACCTAGAATAAAATAACCAATGAAAGCAGTTAAAGTAATATAAAATATTAAGAAAAAGAATTAATTACCCCTGCACTAATTAAAGTTGCTACGATCGAAAGGTAAGGGCCAGCCTTTGTCAACATAGGTTTAGGATCATGTATTGTATAGCCACTGAGTGTGGTATACGAGCTTCCAGGATCAAGTCCTTCGCACAAAACATGTAGAATAAAAGTATTATTTCCCCAAGTTTCAGGATTGAAAATCGTGTTCGTTTCTCTACCCGTTAATAAAATATATAAACGCGGAATAGCGGCATCCATAGTGTCAGTTATGCTATTTATAACAGCATCTATTTGACTCCGAATCAGATTTGTGGTTCTTGCAGTGTGAATAATATACGTTTGGTTACAGGTGTGATTATTTTTTCGGTTGATTCTGATTTTTAAACATATTACTGTTAATGACAATATGTAAAAACTTTCACATAAATAATGAATGATGATTACCTGTTTTGTATCTAGACCAGAAGTTCAGAATGCCGAGCGAAGAACTTGTGCACATGAAATTCGGTTTTATCGAAAGAAGTTTAACATATTTCTCGCTTGCAAATCAGCAATTTTCTTTAACGTTAAAGGTAAATCTGTTAGCTGGCCATGTGCATAACTTGCTGTTAATTTCTCAATCGCTTCATCTGATGAATAAACAATGGTATGTTTGTGTATAATTCATAGATTATACATCCCAAAGACCACATGTCCATTGATGTTGCTATTGCCGGAGACTGTGTTTGTGCCGAATGTAATACTTCGGATATTTATAAAAAATATGAGATTCGAAGAATAATGAATCATTGAAAATTTATATAATTAAACTCACGTGAGCAGTATAAAGGTGAGCAATCATCGACTGTTTCTTCCCCAACAAATCTAGCAGCCTCAAAGTCAATTAACCTCTTTGGGGTGATCCAAGAAAAAATTAGATTCTCAATATCTTTGTCATTATTACCAGGTTCGTGCACGAAATTTCCAGGTTTAATATCCGAACGAGCAGTGTTGTACATTTTTGATGTCCAAGCACTGCACTTTTCGACTGTTCAAATGTCCAAACGTCCAAATGTCCAAGTGTCCAAACTCTTATACTATTAAAAACTATATTATTATATACAACGAGAAATTCTAAACATTTTTAATTAGAGTGTCCAAACAGGTTATTTTAATAAAATTTTGAGTAAATTTGATTTTTTTGTCAAAAATGTCCAAGATTGTCCAAAGGCATGTCCAAAGCTGTCCCGTGACAACACTGACATCATGTATATGCAAATAATGAATTGCATTTGTTAGACTATGACAACTTCTATAAATAGTATGCTCATCGAGGACAATTTACTCGGAAATAGGGCTTTCTAGGCTCTGTGGATAATAATTCAAAATAGACAAAAGGCCAATTGTTTTTCGAAGGAAGCTCATACAATGCTAAAGTTCGCCGACATGACGAGAGCGAAGATATTGAGCATAACAACTTTTCGCTCAAAAGATTCAAAATTTAATCGCTACTTGATCATTAGTTTGGTTACCGAAAAAATGTTCATTTTAAACCTTGAAACCTCTAATATTTTTTAAAAATAATCTGTTGTCAAATTATTTTTCAAAAATATTAGAGGTTTCAATGTTTAAAATGAACATTTTTTTCTTTTGTTCAAACTAATAGTCATGGAAATAAAAATTCTAGAAAGTTAGTTTTCGTATTCCGTTACATGTGTGAACTACTTACTGTATGTGAACTCGAATTGTTACTTGAATTAGAATAGAATTCAGATTTTGGTGTTGATGGAGTTGATGGTGAATTTTCTTTTCATCGACTTTGTTACCAGGTGCAGACTTTAATTTTCTTTGATAATACCAAAATCCAAAGCACCAAATAGCAAAGATAATAATGATTGCAACCCTTGCTACGATATAAAGTCCTGTAGATGGGTTATTAGTCGAGCTTTTAGGATTGCTTCCATCTGGGCTGACTGACTCAGAAGAATTGGTGCCAAAATGGCATTACCGGAAAATCGACCCACTGGCAAAATTGTGGGTAATATTACAACATTTACCCAAGCACGCTGCGTCATATTAAAAATTGCTAGGTCGTTTGTAAATCTGGATCCTATAATACTTGTATTGAATGTGTCAAAGCTTTATTTTTTTTACTTACACCACCATACGTCTAGTGAAAAAAATTAAAATCAAATACATGTATATGATAATATTTATAATAAGTACCCTAAGTATTTACCGGAAATTCCAAAAATGACTTTGTCACTTTGGAACCCGATATCTCGACATCTAGTGATCCCATTCGAACAAATATGTCACTATTAGATTCGCCTCGACTATACGAATCTAATGGTGATATCTTTGTTCGAATGGAATAACTAGATGTCGAGATATCAGGTTCCAAAGTAACAAATTCATTTTTGGAATTTCCGGTAATATATTGTAGGTGTGTGTACTTTCAGCAAATTGAGATGCCAGATAATCATCACAACTAATACCTTGTATTACTGAACCATTTTTAAAGATTGCAAAAGAATTATTCATAAGGTACTATATACCAGAAATAAAGTGTGAGAATATTTCTAAAGAACAGAGTTACAAAATTCTTATTTGAATGTAAATAATCTCTTATCCAAGCTCTCATAATCGAATTTAAGGAACTCGAACCCGTAAAAACAAAGAAAACTCTGGTCGAACAGGGTGGGTTTCCCCTGGTCAAAAGTTGATCAGAAATATGGGTGATATCGTGAGTTACACACTGGTAAATCTAGCAGTAAAAATATAGGCTAAGCACAAAAACTATACAGTTCCATATCTTATTTCACTCATATTTAGATCAAACAAAATTCGGGTTACACTTGGAGTAAATCCAGGACAAAATTGTAGTCAAACCTTCTGAATCATATTGTCAAACCACAGGTAATATTAGTTAATCATCGGGTGAAACTATAGATAATGTCATAGTCAATTATATGATCAAACTAGAAATATAATTATTTAATTATATGCTCAAATTACAGGTAATACTAGATAATATTCGAATATAGTGTAGTAAATTATAGGTAATATAATAGATAATATTCGGGTATAATATAGTAAAAAATAAAGAATTATATAATGAAAAAATAAAGAATAAAATAAATAGAACAAAGTCACAAATCAAGTCATTCAAGTCTAGAAATGACATTTTTGAGCTCATCCTCATATCTAAATAAGAAATCTTTCTTAATATAATATTCATAAAGTAATACAAATGATCAAAAAAAAGTAAATTTACCTTTGTTCATTTCCATTTATTTTCTTATTCCTAAATAAAGGCAATCTCTTTTAATATAACATTTACAAAATCAAAAGAAATAAAAATTTATCTTTGTTTGTTTCCATTTTCATTTCTGTTCTTTAATAAAAGAGAGTTTTTTTTATATAATACTTATAAAATAATAATAAAAAAATAAAATGTAAGAATAATTTTTTACATGAATAAGATTTAAGATAAATTTATTAATTGCTATCTATTTGATGAAATATTAAGAAGTATTAAATGTAGATCTGTGTTAATTTTTAACATATTATGCAAGAATGATAAATATAATACAAAAAATGATAGATATAATACAAGAATTACAAGGATATATGAAAATTGTTACAAATTGACTTTATATACAATTAGGATAGCTTTATCAGATTAAATCTAAAAAATCTAAAAAAAAAATATATATTAAATATGTGATATTATCTTCAGTTTAATATAAAATTAAAAATATTTATTAATAAAATTGAAAACTTTTATATAAAGAGAAAAATCTATATTTTACTATATTTAATTAATAAATTTTAATATCATTGCATTATTTCTAATTGTCACTATATATTGAAAAAATTAAATAAACAAAGAAAAATTTCATTTTTTGAATTATGACAATATTAATAGTATTTTTCATTTTAACAACTTTCTTTAAGTAATTTGTTTTTTGTAATATTATCATATAATTTGCTCTTTAATTGATTATTATTTATTTATATAGAAATTTAATACAGAATTTTAGAATTGTTACACTTTAACATTAAGTCCTCTTTTTTATTTCTTCTTTTTTAAAAATTGTCCTTGATAAATTAGTGCTTTTAACAATTAAGTCAAATTAATTTTTTTGTCTCTTTCTTGATTAACTTTATTAAAGATCTATATAATAAAGGAGATTCTATCTATGAGAAAATACCAAACTGAATTTATATAATTTAAATGTATAGTAAGATCTCTCTACATGCACCCTCTATAAGTGTATATCACATTTTCTATTTCCAGTTCTATATTATTTGAAGTTCTCTTCGTAAGTGCATGACACATGACAAAAATCATGTATATACACAGTTTGGAAAGTTTTATAGGATCAGTCAAATACAACAATTTTGATGTAAATTAATGTGAGAGATCATGATGAAAAACGGATTATAGTGAAAATTTTGGCCAAAATTGTGCAGATCATGGGATCATTTGGCCAGAATTTCTTATAATAAAAGAGCAATATTTGAAAATAATGATATATGCATAAAATATATAGCTTAAATTAATTTTGCAATGATGTTTATATTGCTAAATACTATATAAATTTATTAGTATAATTGTTATTTATGGTTTATTATAATAGATATTGCAAATTTTCATCATAATCCGTTTTTCATCATTATCCCCCACAATTAATAATGATGCGAGATTTTACTGCTTATGCAAATTAATGATGCGTGCATTTATGAATTAAAATTTAACAATATGATGCATGATTACATCATATAACATGATTCTAGTGCAAAAAAGTGTCGGATCATGTGATATCTGTGTATGTCCGGAAAAATTCTACGGTAATAGAGATTATTGTTAAAGGTTAATTTAAAGGTTAGGATTAGAATTAGGGCTAGAGCTGGAGCCTAACTTATATGTAAAATCGCCTTCCCGACATTTTTTTTAGTGTACCAAGCTGGATTTTGGCATCTGGGTTTCTGCATCTGTTTCCCGTATTTTTTACACTTTTCGGTTTGATTTTTTCATTTTCTTTGTTTTTCCGAGCTGATCAAAAATTTATGCATTTTTATTGGTTTGTGCCACCATTAGCACGTGATCTGACACTTCTTTTGCCAACTAACATGATCATAATTCTAAATTCTTTAATTGCACACCCTCTCTAAATACATGCTCATAGCCACAGGTTTGATTCCATTCTTTCCAATAATATAGCCAAGAAAAGGTAGTGATGTTTTTCCAAATGACATTTTTCTGGTTGTATTTTTAGTCCAGCAATGTGAATTTTATTCAAAGTTTTTCGAAGGTGTAGAAGATGTTGTCAGTCCTTAGGGAGGTTTCACTGTGTTTGAAATGCAGTAAATTAATGCACCAAAAAGCAGTAAACTGGTCATTTTACATCGAGCCATTCCGTATTAATCCAATAAATAGAAACGGAATTTTATGTCTCCTACATATTTTTGAATTCGCCGGTTTTATTCTTAGTTTGCTGGCAAGTGCTTTCAATGTTTCTTCTTTGAAATGTAGATTGATAAACTCGTTTAGGATCCTGAGATCACTTCAAGCATAATATTTGCAAGTTGGATTATGATATTTATTTCCATTTATACGAATCGCATCGTAATCAGCGAAACAACTACGTATAATGAAAAATTCATATTAAGAAATAAACTTATTCCAAATTTCTCAAGAGTAAATAAAAATACTTACAGCCAGCAAAATTCATATCCACATCTAGGCGCGCGACACATCATATGATCACATCCCTCATTCTTTTCAATATTAGCATTACATTTAGGACATTTTTTTGTCATAGAATCAATATATGCTTTTGATTTTTCTTCCATTTGTCTATTTTTTTCTTTCTGCAGATCTTGTCTCTTTTGCGAATTATCTATCGCTATTGTTTGTCTTAGTTTTCGTTGTTGTATTTGTTTTAGCGTTTTATTCGAAGATTGTGGATTTGTACGTTGTGAAGTTGTAGGTTCTCGTGGCTCATTATCAAAGGTTTCGGTTATATTGGCGCATTGTGGACAGCTTAGTGAGCCATCTGGAATTGGAAGGGAATGCATAACACATGTTTTTTTCGAACAGGACTGACATGTCATTATTGGTGCAGCGTCTTATATAAGCGAGTTAATAAATAGTAATTAGAATTTAAGCTCTTAACCAAAAAATTAAATTATTATATTACATACCTCCTTCGTAATGAATTTGACCAGAATCACAATTGGGATTTAAACACCAGTAAAAATCATCTATTTGCGAAAGTGCAGACACAAGTGACAATTTCTGATATCTTTTCAAATTATGTAAATTAATATTTAGCTCATTAATTTTTTAACAAAGTTTTCGTCGAAAAAGCTCACCTTTCAAAGATCGTTTCACTGGACAATTTTTTGACATAATCTTCAGTCAGCACACTTCTGCATTTTTCATCTGGACATCTAATTTCAATGTTTCCTTTATCTTGCAACTCGTGTTCGATATGTCTCGCAATACACTCTTGACAAATATTATTCTCGTGTTGACAATTGATTGAAATTTGAATTAATTGTGTCATATCAAAAGTCTCTGTACATATGATGCATTCTTTCTTTTGTGAGGAAAAAGTTAAAAATTTGAATAGGTTCCGATTGCTGCTATTGGGTGTTGTAGAATTATTATTGATAATTGGTGGTGGTGAAAAAAACCTGCGCTCGTTTTTTTTACTATTGCCTGTTACAGTATTATTGTTATTAACCGGTGGTAATGAAAAAAGAAATTGAGGATATCCAAGATATTCGTCTAAGCTCTTCTTACTATCATTTGTTACAGTATTATTATTATTATTGATAATCGGAGGTGGTGAAAAAAACCTGCGCTCGTTTTTCTTACTATCGTTTGTTACAGTATTGTTATTATTATTATTGATAATCGGAGGTGGTGAAAAAAACCTGCGCTCGTTTTTCTTATTATTGCCTGTTACAGTATTATTGTTATTAACCGCCGGTGGTAATGAAAAAAGCAATTGAGGATATCCAAGATATTCGTCTAAGCTCTCTTTCTTCTTACTATCCTTTGTTACATTATTATTATTATTGATAATCGGAGGTGGTGAAAAAAACCTGCGCTCTTTCTTACTATCGTTTGTTACAGTATTGTTATTATTATTATTGATAATCGGAGGTGGTGAAAAAAACACGCGCTCTTTCTTCTTACTATCGTTTGTTACAGTATTATTGTTATTCATAACCGATGGTTGTGAAAAAACATATTCGAGGATATTAATCTAAGCTCTCTTTCTTATTACTATCGCCTGTTACAGTATTATTGTTCGTTATATGCAAATTTATTTTTTTCTTTTTCAAATCCAAATACTGCAACTCCAAATACGTAATATGAACGTTTTTTTATATCGATATCTATGAAAATAGCATGCATTTTTTGGTATCACGTCTCACGGACTTATGTTCGTGCATGATACGTAGTTATTGAAATAAACTTGATATACGTATTTCCATTCTCGTTAATTTCTGTTAAAAAAAAATAGCAATGAATTAATGAAGTCAATAAAAAAATACTATTAATATAATTTTACCTTCGTTTGGAACAATCAAACTGACACTTGACATTTCTAGACATTCGATATGAATTTTAATTAATATGAAATGTCAATGTGATTTATATTTAGAAATGAAAAAAGAAAAATCTGTGTTAGTTGGAATTGAAATTAATTTTGTGGTGAAGATTCGACTGGTGTAAACTGAACTATATTGGAGTGGAATTGTTGTTTTTTGATTATATTTGTAGGAATGCTTTTTTGAACTCTTATTTCACCAAATCTCTGCAGGTTTAGTTCAGAAAATTCCTCAACTTTATATACTTTCTTTTTTTCTGGCTTAAAGCATTATTAAGTTCATATAATTTTTACTTTCCTAGTTTAAGATACTCTTTGATATCATGTGTTTTAGGATATTCTAAGGAGCTGTAGTACTGAAAATGCAAAGTATTCAGTTTTGTATTATATCTGTAGCAGTGTTTGAAATCTGGTGTTCTCGCGTTCTCATGAGAACAAGGATCCGGGACCTCCAACTGTCTTCGGAATGAAACTTATGACCAATTACATTTTCCAAACATCTTAAGAGATTTCTTTGTACCATCATTATGTCAAGTAGATCTGTTCTATCAAACAGCAATTTAATCGATTTTGTTCATGTGTAATCAAGTTTCCCACATCTGAAAATAGACATTCAGATGGAACTGATATTGCAGGAATTGATTTTCAACCCAAAATCGATTCTCGAACACAAAGTAAGTATGACGATGAAAGCAATAACGACGCGACGATGACACTGAGGACATAACTGGTCTTTAGTTTTGTTTTTCATTGCATGTTGATTTTTCCCATTTTCGTTGGAATAGTTGAAGTTGTACTTTGATTAATTGAAATTATAATTTGATTAGTTGAAATTATGGTTTTGATTAGTTGAATTCGTAGAGATACTACGTGGTATAGATAGTAATTAGCATTTAGCACCAAACGATCTGCAAAAAAAATTCTAAATTAGGATATTTAGGACTTATCGTTATCGTTATCGTTACTGTTATCGATACGTATATGATAATTCAAAATCCGAAATATTTAGGATTTTGAAAAGTACTTTAGCCCGAATCATTAGGTATAGAATCAATTGAAGTATTGTCATCAGTTTGAGAATCCGATCAATATCAGTTACTTTTGGTATTAGTATCACTATCAGAGTTATTAAACTTTATATTGGCAATGGTTTCTTGGTTATTATAAATATTAACATTGTTGTTAAATGACAGAGTACGTACATAGTTTGTCGTGCGCTATATCATTTGCATGTTTTTTACAAGTGAAAATCATGAATTTCCAATTGCATGTATCACGATTAATCGATTCTAGAGAATCGATTCCTATCCCTATCCGATGCTTATAAATATTGGTGCAGTTCAATTATTTTTAAAAAATTTTTGAGAACACTGGTTCAAGCTATTGGGTTCTCTTGAGAACACACTTTTGCTCCGAAATTTCAAACACTGATCTGTAGATAGAATAGAAAAAGTTGTAAACTTCCTCAGCAGTTGGTCTGTTTTCTAGAATAGGATCCCAACATTTTTCAATAATAAATTTATTCCATCCGGGAACATTATTTGGTATCATAGGTCGTACTCCATTATCGATGTCGTATACGAGGTGTCTATCATGAGTTAGTTCACCTGTTGCAACCTCGTACATATTCATCCAGAAACTATAAATATCAGCAGTTTTAGTATATGGCTTTCCATTTAGTACCTCTGGATTCATATGCGGAAGCACTCGGCAAATTTTTTGAACAGATTTTTCTATATCTGCTGGTTTAGTAAGTTCGAAATCAGCAATTGAAGGATTACCGAACATTAACGTTAATATATTCCAGGGTGAAAGTCACGATGCACAAATTCCTCAATCCATTTGTAATATCGATATCAGTTAAATGTGCTCAAGTCAATGCTTCGTAGTTGGAGTTCATATATTTGCGTAGCTCGCATAATCCATCACTATCGAGTATCAATTCGCAGCTGGATTTTTAGTTATTCCATAATAACTAACCCAATCAGTGCACTTTAGAACAGTCTGAATCTAAGTTTGAAAAAGTTAATTATATTGAAAAACAAAAAAACAATATGCTTACACTTAAAGGGTTTCATTTTACCTCGTTTATAAACTCGGATGTAATTTGCTTTGAATTTTATAATGATTTCAACACAACGTCGTCGATTTCTCCTCTTCGTTCAAATAATTTTTTTAATAATTGTCCGTCCAACCAGGCCAGGTTGATTTATAAAACCTCCTTTTGCAAGGCATTCAATATTGGTGAGTCTTCAAATGGAATCAATTTAAATTGCAAACTTGACCATTTTTTAATTTTTCCGCATTCTTTTTTATTGACGTCAGATTGTCGACAAAACAATTTTTTTTTGACAATCGGTACTGGCATTGTGATCAGCGCTGATATTTGAAATTTTAAATTTCCATCTTCGAGTTCGCTCAAAATGGTTTAGCGATGTCTTATATAGAATAAACGATAGTGACAGCGATAATGATAACACACGATGTGACGCAAGAACGTACAATAAACTGAATTACTTGGAAATAGAATAATCTTCCGACGCAAGGAATGCACCAATAATTTTAGCTGAGCCTGGATACTCTATATAAAATCTAAACATTAACATAACGATAAATTATTAAATATCAAAACAACAAACTAGAAGCATCCTTAAAATAACACATACAAATATCCAACATTTTCCAATGCAACAAATTTAGAATTAGGCATTCTACGATGAATTGCTTCTCCGTTATAAATTGGAATAAGGTTGTCTTTATCACCATGAAGAATAAGAGTCGGAATCAGAATATCACTTAGTTCCGATTCAGCATTAAATTTATCTATTGCTTGTGTTTGTTTAACTTTTTATTATAAAAGTTAATAAGAACTCGTATCCATAATTAGCTTTAAAAAAACGAATAAAATTCTAAATAAACTCACCAATCACAGCAGGACTTTTGCGATTCGTCGACTTCTTTTCACTTTCAACTATTTGAGCATAAACACTTGGGTTTACTTCAATCCATTCTTTTGCGAAATTGATTTCTAACATTTTTAATACGAATTTCTTCTTTTGCTCGGGTGTGAAACTCTGTTTATCGAAACTTTTCAGACCTTCGATGTACTCGCTGAAAATTGTTTTTGAGGTTCTAAGATAAATTTGAAATTTAATTTCAGATGCTCTTATTTGCGATAGAAGCAAAATGTTTATAAAATTACCTACGTTGAGCAAAGCACCAACTTTTCGATTTTAAATCCTGGTGAAGTGTTTAATGCCGCTGTAAGTGCAATCATTCCTACATTTATATGCCCATGCACAAAAAATGAAAGATGAAAGAAAAAATTTTTGATGAAAATCAGTTTTATACAATTTCGCTAGTTCTATTACCACCCATAAAGTACCCTAAAAGACAAAATCGTTTCCATTTAACGTAATCCGCTAGCATATACACCACTTTTGCTAAATCCTCCATAGTCATTGAAGTCTCAATGGGTTGTTGCGATTCACCGATTCCTATTTCTAGCCAATTCTAAGCTTAAATTAAATAAAATCCAAAAAAAAATCTACCGTGAATCATCTATCGTAATTATTCAGACTAAAAACAAAATAATTTAGAATTCTACCATCAGATAAAGGCGAAAAGTCCTCTTTAATAAGAAGAGATTTAAAAATTTTTTATCGAGTCGTTATGTCTAAACATCTTTATACTATACATACAATCCCATTATCATAATCAATGGGTTTGATTTTTGGTTACTTGGTTGCCATTGTCGAGTATCTTGATACGCGATTTTGATGGATTTACTTTGATGAAAAAAGTGTTTGATTTGCCATTTTTGATGTATCTGCACAAAAAAAGCTAACGTTATGAAAATTTTTCTATCTATGGAATTTCCTGATATACAGTACATTAAGCTTCAAAAATATGTATGTACCGGTACATACGTATTCGTACGTAATTTAATTATTAGATGTCTTGCATCAAGTAGCTACTGTTAACGTTAAGGTCTAATTCGAATAAGCAATAGTGCTTTATCTTCTAAATCAGTAAAAAATAGAAAGCGACTCTGCCCTGAACCCTTTTTCCCATATAATGAATTACCATACAGTTATTTGTCTATCGATATTGATATGCATGTACGTCATTATCGTTACATATGTACGAACAGACAATGTCGATATAGCAATAGGAATGATGATAATGCTTCCAATTCATGCATGTATGCAAGCAACGCTAACACAAACACATGCATTGTACTGTTTTACGTACCACAGTTTCTATCACAAACGGATTAACGCCAAGACAATGGATAGCGATAGCGATAGATAATAAAATTTAATGTGAACAATGTGTTTTTGAATTAAAGTTAAATTCTTTTCCAAATTTGATGAACAACACCACCATATAATTTCTATTGCTATGGCAATAACGATAATAAACAATGGAAATCTTTTGTAAAGATATATCGATATCGATTGATATTTAAGTCATTTCATTGTTCGGGATTCTTGCAATTTATTTTTTTTCTCTTATCAATAAGTAAATTATTATTATTAAATACACCAATAAAAATGTTAACGCCATTTCTAACTTCCCTATCAAACGATTTTGGACATCTACTCGAAGAAGGAGATGACTATAATGTGATTGTGCACGCGGGTGAAGAACCAAACGACAAAACATTTTTGGCCCATTCGGTCGTATTGCGCGCTAGATCTTCGTATTTTAGACGTGCACTGTCAAAAGAATGGGCTCGTACCGAAGAAAACGGAATGATTGTATTTAAAAAACCAAATATTTCGCAATCGATCTTTGAGATTATTTTAAAGTACGTTATTTAAAATGTATCGTTAGCTTTTTTATAAAAGAATTGATTTAGCTAATTAAAATTCAAAAATAGATATATGTATACGGGTATAATTACACTCGACAATAAAGACGGAACAGACCTCTTAAAACTTTTAGTTGCAGCCGACGAACTCTTTCTACAAGAACTCCATGATCACGTGCAGTCGCATCTTCTTGAATGCCGAGAAGCATGGCTACGTCACAATTTCGTTCTAGTCCACCAAACGATCTCTCAGTTAGCAGCCTCAAAAGAATTGCAATCATTTTGCCACCTGGTTATTTCCAAACACCCACAAGTAGTATTCAAAGCCAAAGATTTCGTCACAATCGAAGAGGAGACATTACTTCATTTGCTTGAACGTGACGATCTTGATATGGAAGAAATCGAAGTATGGGAACGCGTTCTAGATTGGGGAGTTGCTCAAAATTCACCAAATTTAGATCACTGTCGCGCGCAATGGAAAACGGAAGATTATTCTCTCCTACGTGAAACAATAGCAAATTATATTCCTCTTGTGAGATTTTTCCGAATTCCATCTGCTGATTTTTATAACCGCGTACGAGCATACAAAGAAATTATTCAACCAGAGTTATTTGAAACAATTGAAAGCTTTCATTTTAAAACTGGTATTCAACTAAAATCGGATCAACTACTACCGGCTCGTTTCAAAGGAATAAAGTCCTCAATTATTGAAGAGAAACACGCATCGCTGATAGCGAGCTGGATTGATGGCGGTGATTCTGTCGCATTTTCAAATCACGGCGAGAATCCATATGAATTTAATCTTTTGCTACGTGGGAGCAGAGACGGATTCTCTGCGACAACTTTTCATGCTAGATGTGATAACGCAGGCGCGACGGTGGTTCTTTTAAAAGTCGATAGATCAACACATATTCTTGGCGGGTATAGTCCTGTTCCGTGGGGATCCACTAATAGTTGGCGGTACACACGAGATTCGTTTATATTTGATTTTAAACGGGAAGTTAGTAGTAAAGTTAGCTGTAAAATTAGCAGAGTCATCCCAAGGAATGCGCATTATGCTGTTAATGATTCACAGGAGCGTGGTCCGTGTTTCGGAGATGGAGATCTTTGGATGAATGATAAGGTGACTTTTTATATTATTAATAACGATGACACTTTATTTTATTATAACATTTGCTCATCCTTTTATGTTTGTTTATAAATAGTTTAATCAGCCTGATAGTTGCTCATGCAACAGAGACTCGTACGACCAAAGTATCGGCGACATTTCTTGGGAATCGTGGACGCAGCGAACTGGTAACTTCCAGGTTGAAGACTACGAGGTATTCCAAGTCGCAAAAAAGCGGCCTTATTTGTAAATTTTAACTTTGATAGATGTATGATAGTTTGTATCAGTAGTTTTTTTTCTACTCAGAATAGTTTCCCTTTGTATATATTCATTGTATGTGTAAAATAAATGTATGTATTTCATGATATCGATATATATTCTAGCGTTAGCGTTCATCAAAAATGAAAATTGTATTAAATATGGTTGTGAATACAAAATCTTTATAATTGTCTTTACTTTTTATTTTTTATATCTTTTAATTTTTATATTATCAAACAATATTAATAATATTCATAAACACATTTTTTTGCTATATAAATATCAAAGAAAAAAATTTTTTTAAAAATAACTATATTACTATAGAAATTCTTAGCGTAAGATACAAAATTTATTGCATACCAATACTCATACTTTAGTACATTTGATATAAGTCTAAATTTTAAGTGGCCTTTAACTTTGAAACATTTAATCTATAAAATTTTAAATACTTAAATTTTTGTTTATACTTAATACTATTGTAATTGAATATTTTAAAATATACATTTTATTGATTATAATGACCGATATACAGAAGATACATATCGATCTAGAAAATTTAATATAATATACTATTGAATTTAAATTTTAATAAACTTTTATTATGATAAAGTATTATCGTTATCTATTATTTATAGATTTCTGCAAAAACACGATACCTACTTCACAATTCATGATCAGATTATTTGTAAAGTTTGAATTAGAATCAAAAACAAAATTTAGTAAATTTTCAATATTAAATTTATTTATTTTTGATTTAATTCACTTGGAACATTATTAACTTGAGATTATAATTGCATTTTTGTAGAAATAAATGCCGATGCAATACGGGGTATGAACAATTCTACAGTATTCAGTTCATTAGTAAACAAAATAATCTTTATTTCAGATATTATATTATAATAATAAAATTATAAAAAAAATATAATAACGCTCAATAAACAAAAAAGACATTTGCAAAGCATTTTCTTTAATAAAATTAATTGCTGATTAGAACCGGATCAGTTCATCTATGCTAGGATTTTTCCGATTTAAATTGAACTTTATTAATTGTTTTATTTGTCACTAAATTCGCTTCGATATTATTTACTATGTTAATTTCAATACTATTCATTCTCCGACATTATATTTCACAGGGTTTCATTCGGTTTGCAAACTTCACCGGGTGAAGTTTTTAGACACGCGATTCCAATGCTATTTACTCTTGATATCATTTGTATGTATTTTATGCGTTTTTTTGCATCATATAAAGTTATTGTTCAAAAAATAGAAAATGGGCTTTAAAATAAAAGTAAAAGTATATATAGCTTATACTGTACGATGAATATATTGAATTTACTCAATCTTAATGGATGCATAGCAAAAATCAACTCAAAACTGCTCAAGAGAATTCAATATCTCGCATAAACCCTGTAAAAAAAAATTTTTGAACATATCAGGCAAAAATCCAGTTTTTTGTATTGATCTGTTTTTTATCCGGAATATTTTTTGGATAAAAAATGGATCAATACAAAAAATCTGGTTTTACTTTAGCAAAAATCCATTTTTATTGCCAGAGTAAAAACAGTTTTTAAAAGATCCAACATACTTTCATTTTTTTTACTGGATAAAAAACAGATCTATATAAGAAACCCAGTTTTACTTTAGCAAAAATCCATTTTTTAGAAGATCTGACATAGTTCCATTTTTTATCCAGTAAAAAAATGGAAG